TATATATATATATATATATATACCATTGGCTAGCCTAAGGCTAGTTCTCTAGTTCTTTACGCATCGTTACTGGTTAAGCTTTTTCAACCACACTCTTCCTGTGGACAAACTGCCTCTCCCTGGACTGGATTTACCCTGATCTGTCTAAGTATAGTTACTTTGTTGAAAGCAAATGGTCAGCAAGCATTGAAGATGTAACAAAGAACTCAATTAGTGTCTAAAAATTTATGTTGATTCAGACTGGAGTTAGGGCTCCCACCTTAGACTGCAGCATTCCACAAAGTCTTTTTAAAATTTTTTCAAAACCATTTTATTGGGAGTTGATACAGATATCATATCATTCCATAATTCAATCACATTAAGCAGTATTGTACAGTTTCAAAACATCAGTTTCAAAACATTTTCCTTCCTGAACTCCTTGACATCAGCTCCCTTTAACTTTTACCCGCCAGCCCCCCACTCCCCATTACCCAGCTTTAGTGTACTTCCCGTGTTAGCGGTTCACCTTCCGCAACTAATCTGCAAGGAGTACCGCCTTGAAAACCCTAAGGGGCAGTTCATCTTCCCCAAAGTACATACCAAGTTGGCTGGGCCATGATTCTCGATGGCTTGGCAGTTACTTGATGATGCAATCATCCCATGATGTGATCTGATGTCATCTGCAGGTCAGTTGTAAAGGGCTTGGTCACAGCCCTCATCTGATGTAAAAGGGCCTTCTACAGGATGTGACTTAACACCGTCGTTTATCTTCCAGGAGGTGGAAGGAGAGAGGAGTGCGAAGGTGAGATGCTCAGCACCACCAAGGAAGAGCAGGAAGCAGAACGTGTCCTCTGGAAATGGCTTGCTGCACTGCTCGGATTTCCCTAGACCCACGTGACGAGAGAGGCAAGGACACACATGACAACTGCCCAGCAGCAGAAACTCAGAAGAAACCAGGACCTTCCTCACAAGCTGAGAGTGGCAGGAACCCTCCCCGAAATTCGGACTTGTGGCTTTCTAAATCGTGTGAAAATATCTTTTTTTATTAAAGACACGTACACACACAATTTGTAGCTCCTTAAGAAACTAATCAAGACAACCAAGAAAAATGGTTGGATTAAGAGAATTCCTTTTCTCCTATGTTGATACTTCAATAAAACCCAAGTGTGATAGATTTTGGGGGGGTCAACATGGCACCTGTAGGAAGATATGGGTAGACTTTAGCCTGTCAATCAGGTCACAGTTTGATGACCTCCATTGCAGGTGCAACCAAGAAAAATGGCTCTCTGGAGGTCGGCTCCCCCTTCCCCTCCCTGTTGACTAGCCACTCTGAGACCCTTGTAATCCCTGTGATGCGGCCAACCCCCATTGGATCCATGCAACTCTGAACCCACCGGCCTGTGATCTTCCTGCATGCTGCATCACTGCATGAGTCTGAAGAGGGACTTGTGGATTAGTAGCAGATTTATGGACTCAGTCAGACTGTGCTGGGATGTTTACTTGATAAATAATTTCTTCTTGATATAAAGCTCTTTCTTACACATATATGAGTGTCACTAGATTCATTTCTCTAGTCAACCTGGCCTACCACACTAAGTTAATGACAAATTTCCATAAGAAATACTTGATTTTGTTTAATAACTGCTCAACAATATTGCAAACGTGTGTTGGCATTATGATGTCAAATTACAGAGCAAACTTAGGAGAGTGCATAAAATTCTTTATTTAGAACAATAAAGTATATGTATATATAATGTAATTTCAAATTCAAACCTGTATAAAAAAAGGATCAGGACATATAGCTATTTTAAAAAGTACACATACAGTATATACACATACACATCACATTTTACAACCTTTTCTTATTTAATTAAACTTCAATCATAATAAAACTATTTAGAAGAGTGTTGACATACATTTACATTACAATATGCAAACTGCAATCTATGACTCAACTACCAATATTATCTGTGCATCCATCTAAATATCTGAATACTTTTCAAGTCCATTGATTTCAAAAAATAGTGGCAAGTGGACACTATACTCACACATTAGAACACAGGAGAATAGGCTATTTTTATTAGAAAACTTGTATTTAGTGAGCCTTGTAAGCTCCGAAACCAAATAACTTAGAATATCATGTTTTTTAATTTAGGTAATTATCTTCATTTTATTTTTAAAATGACATCATAAAGATGTAGTTGGAGATGGCAGTTACAAATTTACAATGCTTAGTAAATATTTGAGGATCATGAATATCCATTTTAATAAGGCTTATTTCTGAGATAACTTGTAATTTTATAAAAGTACCATTATTTTCTTTATAAAATACCCATCTTACTGGAGGAAAAAAGCAAGACCATGTATTGTGTGTCCAAACACCACCGGTGATCTAGTTAGAATTTCAATGAAAATGTTCGTGCCTTAAAATCATTTTCAAATAATGATGTTTCAAAGAGAAGCTGGTTTACTTTAAACTTCTTATTCAGTTTTCCAATTTTAAAACATAATTTATGGATTATCCCTTTCCAAATTGATTCTAAAATATTCCTGACATTTAAAAACTTTAGAAGCATGTTACATTTTCCTGCTCTTAGCTTTTAATAAAATGAAGGCATTTAAATGCTTAACTTGGTATATTTCCAAATATTACACACATAGTATCTCTTGACAAAAATGTTCTACTGGTTTTCATTTTTCAGAGGTGATCCGAAACATTTATTTAAGCAAAGGAAAAAGTCATCTCTCTTATAAATGAGCATCCAATTCATGCTACTTGAGACTGAATTCACTTTTACTAATTGACCCTATTTACATTAGAAACAAGAACAGCAATGACTTTTTAAAAATGAAGGCAGGAAGTCCCGCCCTCTGGACACGCCCCCTCTGACCAGCCCTGCCCCTTAGCAATAAATTTTTATAGTTAAGCTACTTCTTCACAGAGGGGAGAGCTGAATGTTTTGTATGGGTCAGTTTCAGGTCTTGAGAACTTTGTTAGATATAAAGGGATTGGTTTCAGATTAAGGCGTGACCTCACAGTGCACCAATTCACCAAATCCACCGCCATCAAGTTGATTCCAACTTAGAGCTCGCCATGCAGATTTTTAAAAAAAGTTAATTTCAAGGCTAAGAGATGATTAGTTAATGGCAAAGTGGTGGCTACTGACCATTCCATCCAATATTCACCCCACTATGCCAGACTGCCCTTCTGGAGAAAAACAAAACAAAACAAAACTTTCTTAAAGAATAGATATGGGATAACTAAAAGCTACATACGAAAATAAAATTTAGTAACCAAAATTTAGCTGCAGAAGAACATTAAGAAAAACTGTAATTTCTGAAGGGATTTTCTGTTAATTTAAAACTTTTTTAAAAAGAAAGAGAAAACAACAACAAAAAAACTTTAACTGAATTAATTAGGGTACTAAAGTGTGCCACAAAGGCACTTCAAAGTATTTAATGCTTAATGAAATGTGCTTAATTCTGACTAAAAGCAAACACTTCTTTATAGACTTACATTTTCATTTTAGAAGGATAGATTACTTGTTCTACTATAGTATTGAAAAAAATCAATTTGTCTCTGACTCATTAAAAAATGGCCATGTGGTAAGCACATTAGATTATCCTATCCAGGAATGCTTCCGTGTAATTGATCATGGAACCAGTCTCTTGATAGACTTGAGTTTTACTGAAGAGAACCATTTTATTAAGGAGAATTGAGGAATCAAAAATATTCTGCAAACCTGTCAATGTAATATAGAATTGGCAGAGCTTCTGAGATCATTCAAAGAAGCAATTTGGAAACATTACAAGAAAGGACAAGATGATGTCATGGTTTATGATGCTCAGTTGTGCGTTGCCTGTAATTCACAAAGGAGGACATACACGAGATAAATTTATATATATATGTATCTATATGACATTTATGTATGTCATATATATACCCAAGTAGATATGACACAGTTAATGCCCATGCAGCTAACATTCAAAATATTAATGTCCAGTATTATTTTCTATTCTTCATGCATTTTATTGAACTTTTAGTGTTTCAGAACTTAATAATCCATGTAACTCTCAATGAACCAATACATTTAATTAATCAGAACACACAGTCCTTTCTCTACAATGCCAGATTTCATACTTGCCAAGTTTATTCACTTAATCCTATTGATAAGGACCGTGTTCTTGAATGCTAAAATCCAGCTACAAGCTTTGAAAACATCAAGTACAATTTAGTACTCAGGCTTACCAAACAGCATTTCTATATGCCCAAGATATTAGAAAACATTGGTTAAATAAATCAAACCATTTAATTGAGAAGAAGCAACTCAGGTAACCATGACGTATACACACAGCTCATGTTAACCTGTGTTCACTTTCCCCCAAACAGAGGCACACACTCACAAACAGTTCCTTCAGCAACTAAAGTGTGGTCTGGCTTGACTAGTAACCAGCTGTGCCAAGAGATATCTAAGGGTCTCAACAAGTTAATGCAGCTTCTCAATGTATCTGGATTGTATCTGGAGAAATAACTACTGTTTGAGGAACCTCAGCACTTCGGAGAAGGAAGAGCCTACAGAAATCGTCTGGGCTAGTTGGCACACACCAAAAAGGAAAGGCCACTTGCCAGAGTTATATTTTAATTACCTTGGAATATAAGCTTCAATCCAACATACCAGAAATATTTGGACTTTTGAAATCAAGGAAGGCTAGCACTTAGTTTTTACACCTTTGTGTATCACTCCATAGAGAACGGTCAGACAGATGGCAACAGTGTCACAAGATCAAATGAGATTGGAAAGCTTTGAATTCGTCATGCATCTGCTCGTGGTATGCGAAAAGAACCTTCATCTCAATAAATCATAAGAAAGTATCCTTGGACTTTAGTCAGATGTTTCTTTGACTATAAAACAAAACAAAGTAAAATAAAAAACTTGGCAAGGGAAATTGGCCTAATTGCTTAAGAATTCTAGTTTAAAAATGCACTGTCCATCTTGGGAGTTCCTGGCAAATTGTCTTAATATGCAAAACATTTTAAACAGCACACCGACATGCATAACTACATAAAGCGCTCTTTCAATTTCTCTTTGTCATTCATAAATCTTAATGAATACAATAGAGTGCCTGATTTTTAAATAAATGGATCCTTTAAACAGATAATGGTGATTATACTATAAATAGCTAAAGTTTCCATAATCCTTGTGTTCTTTAAAAGCCAAGTAACCTAGTGTTTCAACACCCCAATAATATAAAGCATGTGGGTGTGGTTTTCTAACCTTAGATATGAAATATCATAATTTAGTTTAACCCTCTCCCACAGTGGAAATTTAAAATGGGACCTTCATACATTCAGCATCTTCTCCTAAGTCCCCTCACCACAACTCTGTAAATAGCTTTAGAACAAAAACATTTTGTACTATAGTTTGCAAACATGATTTATACATGCTCTAGTGGTCAAAGGGAAAAGCAGACTTCCCCAGGGATGCCCCGTGTCCCACTCGCGAGACGGTTCTGTTGCTGTGTTCAAAGCTTCTTTATGGGTTCAGTTTGTGGCGAGCTGCTCCTGCAAGGCGTCACTGGTGAAGTTCACCGCTGGCTGCCCTACATGGCTAGAACCAGCCATGGCGATCTGTCTAGTGAGATACTGAGATACGGATGAGCATGGTTTATACTAGGAAGAGATCATAATCAGACCTATATCATTAGTCAGCAGCGACGTGCTGCCTACGCCTATCACTTTGCTCCCACTGCTTTCTATACCGTGCAGCGGCTGGTGCAATTGAATTGCTGCTCTGCTTTTGATGTGTTTTTTTCTAGATCCTGTTGAGAAAAATAAAAACCAAGAAACAGAACAAAACGTTACCCCCCACTACCCAGGCTGAAATCTACTTGCAGAGGCCAGGCTAACTATGGCTGTAGGCTGTAACGGGAAAATAAAGCTAGGTGTTGTGTCAACAACGGGACATTTCTGGAGGCATGCAAATGGTGGGTGCAGTCAAGGATGCCTGCTTTCTTTCCCAAAGTCAGTCCCAAGTCCTGCGTGAGACCACAAGTCCTCCAGGTCCTGAAAATAGAGTCCTGCTCCATGCAAGCTTTTCTTTTCTTGACAGATGATTAATTCCAAGCCCGTTTCACAGTAAAACACTTTGTTCCAATTGCTGCATCATCCTTACAGAGTCATGGGTCGCAGGAACAGATACAGATGTGGTCTGTCACTCAGACGGAATATGAGTTTGTGTTAAGCTGCTTCATTTATGAAGCAAACATGAACTGTTACCCGCCTAGAAAGAAAGGAAAACAAGAGAGATTATGGCACGCCTCTTTTTCCCCCCTCTACATTCTCAGTCGATGAATTAATATGAGACTGCACTGTAACTGAGAGACTGACAATATAAGCTTTGCTTATATAGTCTAAAAGAATTTGATACATTTTCCTCACATGCAGCAATCCTGCTTATTATTCTATATCATCATTTCTTGCTTTTAAAACACTTGACATTATCTGAAATGATCATATTTCTTCATTGTCTGCCACCTCCTGTGCTAGGTACATAATTTTATATCAACTTGAAGATAGGTAAGTTTCGGGGTGGTATTCAACCTGTCAACAGGTCACAGCCTGATGGTGCCTCCTTGTGGGTGTGGCCTTCTCATAAGGAGAGGCCCAGGAACGTCCCCTCTCTCTCTGCCATCACCTTCCTGCTGGCTGACCCTGCTTTCTGCCAGAGACACCGCCATTGAATCCACCGGGCTTTGCACCCACCGGTCTGTGATCTTCCTGCATTCTGCATCATTGCATGTGGCTGCATGAGGCTGAAGGGGGACTTTTATTTGTTTATTTATTTAAATGAATCATTTTATTGGGGACTCTTACAGCTCTTATAAAAATCCATACATCAGTTGTATCAAGCACATTGGTACATAAGTCACCATCATTTCCAAAACATTTTCTTTCTACTTGAGCCCTTGATATCAGCTCCTCTTTTTAATCCCTTCCCCCTCCCCCCCTCGGTAATATATACAGTATTTTTATTTTTATATTTTACACTGTCTGCTGTCTCCCTTCACCCACATTTCTGTTGTTCATTCCCCTGTGGGGGGAGGGGCTATGTCTATCATTGCAATTGGTTCCCCCTTCCTCCTCCTACCTTCACCCTATCCTCATGGTATCATTACTTTCATTACTGTTCCTGAGGTGTTTATCTGTCCTGGATTCTGTGTGTTGGGAGGTCTTATCTGTACCAGTGCACAAGCTTTGGTCTAGCCAGATTTATAAGGTAGAACTGGGGTCATGATCGTGGGTGAGGAAGCATTAAAGAACTAGAGGAATGTTGTGTGTTTCATCAGTGCTATACTGCACTCTCGTTGGCTCGTCCTTTCCTTGTGACCCTTCTGTGAGATGTCCAAATGTCTACAGATGGGCTTTGGGTCTCCACTCCGACCCTCCTTGATTGAATGGAAATGGTTGTTTGTTTTGGGTCTTCTGAGGCCTGATAGCTGATCCCATCGACACCCTGTGATCACAGGGGTTGGTGTGCTTCTTCCATGTGGACCTCGTTGCTTCCCTGCTAGATGGCCACTTGTTTACCTTCAAGCCTTTAGACCCCAGACGCTGTATCTTGTAATAGCTGGGCACCATCAGCTTTCTTCACCACATCAGCTTATGCATCTATTTAGCTTCAGCGATCACATCAAAAGATGAGCATCACAGAATGCCGGGTTATTAGCACAAAGTGGTTTTGTGTTGAGGAGGAAGAACTTGAGTAGAGGGGTAACTTGAGTAGAGGCCCAATGTCCATCTGCTACATTAATACTTAACCTACAGATATATGTACATAGGCCTATATCCTATTATTATATATTAACATATGTCCATGCCTATGTTTATACCTCTATAAATGCCTTTTGCCTCCTAGTTCTTTCCTCTATTTCCTTTTACTTTCCTCTTGTCCCACTATCATGCTCAGCCCTCATTCAGCTCTCTGTACTTCCTCTCAGCTACATTACACTTTATCGAACCTCACCAGATATTCTATGCCCTCCTCCCCAGTGATTTTAGATCTCTTGTGGTTCCCTTGTCCCTGGATTTGTTGGCTCCCCACTCTTTTTCCCCCACCTCTTCCTCTCCCCTGTCCACCCGGAACCGTCAGTCCTGTTATTTTCTCCTCAGGATTGTTTATCCTGCCTATCTTAAATAGATAGACATGACACAAAGAAAACAAAACAAAAAATAGCCTATGAATAGTTTCAGGTCTGTGTGCTGACCCTTATGAATGTTTTTCGATCAGATCTGATGCAGTGCCAAGCCCTATCCCCCTAAGTTCAAAGTCTATTTTCAGAATTTGTAGGGAACTTGTTGCTTTGCTCGCCTTGGTACTCTGTTTCACTCCCTTCATGTTACACCCTGGTGGTGTGCGGGTCAGACTAAGCGCAAGTCCTGCACTGTGTCTCCGGTGTTGCCCCCCGTAGTGCTGTGGGTCAATAAGGGGACATTGGGTTGAGGAGGGACTAATGGATTACTATTGGACTTAAGTTCAAGTGGGCTGGGATGGTCTCTTGATATACAATTGCTTCTTGATATAAAGCTTTCTTACACATATATTCATTTCTCTAGTCACCCTGGCCTAACACACTTCCCATTAGAATATAAACTCCGTGATTGCTCAAATCTTTCTCTAGCTTGTTTTATACCTCAACAGACAAACTTAAACCGGTGCTTGGTACCTAATAGACATTGAGTACACATGTGTTAAATGAAAGGATAAATGAATAAAAGCGTGTGGTTTTCATACCTGAAAGCATAGCACCTATCACCTCAATTTGTGATGAATCATCAGAAGGTTCAAAACCTCTTGGATTTCTCTAGTAAGGCTACAAGGAGGTACTAGATAAATGATGAGAAGGGAAGGAGAGAGGAATAAAAGCAGTGAATGACTGGAGAGTGGAGAAGTATGCGAGGGTTTTCAAAAGTTTGTGGATAAATAGAATGGAAAAAGAATAGAACATTTCCTTATAGCAATGGATGAGAGGCAGCAAAGAGATATTTAGACAAATGGAGAAGCTTCACAGTCAATGAATAGCCAGCCCTACCTATAATCTTGACGGTCTTTGCAGGGTTTGAGAAATCACTGTCCTCAACTGAGGAGATAGTAGCAGCAAGATCACATCCAACACTGTCAACTAAAAAAGGAAAGGCTGGAATCCTGGCACAACATCCTGGAGATGCCTCTAGGGAGGCTCATTTGGCCTCAGCACAGCTTGTACTTGTTGAAGCATGAAAGTCATACTTTGGTTTAATTCTTCAGGGATGGGATTAAACCACTGTGCTTGAGCCTTGCCTCTCGGATTTTGAACTTTTAAGTAAAGCATATGTATTTCCACATCAACTCTTTATCAAAACTAGTGTCTTCATTTGACACTCAATCACAGCAAATGTTGTTCTTGTTTATCAATCCTAGAAACCTGAGCCACCGGCTTTAAAATATTTCTGATCATTACACAAGTTCTGAATAGAATTCCATTGCATGAATAATGAGACAGGGTTTCCTCCCCCAAGCTCTTTAAATATTATAGCCTAAGAACTCTACTATGTAACAGATTGCCAAACAGAGAACTCTAGAAACTAAAGAACCTATACTTGGAAACTCAGAACCAGATCTAGCAGGAAAAATGGAGGCATTAAGAGATCACTGCAGAAACATAATGTATGAAGAAAGCTTGCTTAGAAGAGTAAGAGGAATCATCCACAGAGGCAAAGGATTTTAAAAAATAAACACTACAGAAAAAGCTGAACTTCTAACTTTCCTCCAAGGTAGAGAATAATGATTGGAAATCTATTTCTGACTTTGTCCCCGGGTGGCAAAGAAAAGAAATTTGAAGGTTGCCAACACTTTTTTCATAAAATTACAATTTTTATAATGATACCTTGAATTCTCAGCACAAGCTCATGAGATAAGCAGGGTAAATCTTAAGATTCTTTCATTATACCTCAAAGTAAGGGGTTAAACTACATGAACAAACTCATCCAAGAACCTTCAATGAGCTAAATCAGTTTAGTCTTGAACCCTCATCCTCTTATTTCTTCTAATCCTTTGCATCATAGTAGGTCTACAGAAGGAAAAGTCAAAGTCAACACAACTGAAAATCTGGGCATTTTTAGGAAATCCCTGGTAAAGAGCCACAAATCTTTCCATTTGGGTAAGAAATATTCCCAAGCTCTATGCACTAGCTAGCTCTCTCAGCTTGATTCCAATACATTCTTCTTCTATTTCTAGGAGTTAGTGTTTTATGTCTTAGAGCTCAGATCTATTGGGAACTTTGTGTTTCTTTTATAAATCTCTTCACAAGCCCAAATTTAATGAGAATGCGTCTATCCTTACAGTGCGGTAGTGATATGTCACCCAACAGTACAGACCCTGCAAACTCATGCTGTTGCTGTCAGCCAGAATGGGCCTCCTTTGTGACTAGACACTCACTCCCTCAAGATTTCAAGGTAGATTTCTTTGCAGATGACTCCCAAATCTATTATTTCCGGGCCTCCCTGCCCAGTCCAGTCTGACATTTTTGACTATTGAACAATTCCGCCAATATTTACCAACAGGTCCTTTTGTAAAATGATATCACCATCTGGTTATTTCCATAAGTTTCAAATTGTCTTTGAAAATTGTTCATGGTGCCAAGCCTCATGTGCCATCAGAAAGTATGACTGGTTGGTTCTTTGTCTGCAATGTCTCCACAATGGCCCACATTTTCATATTCCCATGACTTTGACTTAGTTGGCGTCATTATTTTCTCACATCTGCTCTGAAGATTCATATCTTAAGGCTCCCTGCTTCTACTTTAGCATGAATCCATCTAGCTGCACCAATACCAAAGGACTTTTCTTACACCGCTGCTTTAATCACACCATTCATACCTTTCCTGAAACATTCAAAGAAGGTTCCTTCTAATTCACTCAGTGTAGTATAATCTCTGTGTCTGGCATGTAAGCACACTTATATCCACTCTCTCTTCTCAACACTTCAACCCTTTATTGTGAACTCCACCTGAACAAACTGACCAGTGACCAGTGTATTTTGGGGGCCTTCATGACTTAGTCTATGCCCCTTGCACTGCCTGGATTATCCTTGGTTTATTGTTAATAAAATCCAATCAATCATCCTAGATTCAGCCCAGTTCAATGCCATCCTCACAAGAAAGCCTTTCTCCTGTTGCTAGTGATTTCTCTCTCCCTTCAAATAAAGCCAAGGAGATTTCATGGTGACGTTGGTTAAGCATGGGGCTACTACCCACAAGCTATGTGGGTCAAACCCACTAGCTGTTCCTTGGGAGAAAGATGAGGCTTTCTGTTCCCGTAAAGATTTATAGTCTCAGGAACACTAAGGAATTGTTCTACTCTGTCCTTAGGGTCTCTGTGAGTTAGAATTAGTTCGGTGGCAGTGAGCTTGGTTTGGTTTTGTAAAATAAAGCCAAAATACATGGTTTTTACACTGCACAACACTTATTGATGATATCACACCAATAGTTACATTTTGATGAATGGATATCTTACATTCATCTGCCGTAGTCTTGTCTTTGATCTCTTATTTCATTTTCTTTGAAACTTTTTGTTTCTACTTTAAACTTTGTTAGCTTCTAGTTTGCTTTTTAAAAAAATTAGTTTGGACATTTATGTATATACTTCATTTCATTTTGTTGTCTAGAAGCAATTTGAGGACATAGTGTGTTACATTAAGCTCTGCACCCCACAGTGCATATACTTGATGGAATCACCTTTGAGAAAAAGAACAAAATGTCCCTCTTCTACTACAATGAGTGATAGTTTCAGTGTAATTCAGCTCTGCTTTCTTTCACAGAACAAAGTAAATGAAAGTCCGGCAAATGTGGTAAAGTGAAATTTCTTATTACAGCTTTTCTATCTATGTCTCTGTAACTCCCACCAAGTGATTGGGTGGGACCCTGAAAACAGGCTATGTGAAACACTAATGGAGAGGATGGGTCAGTTTTAGTTGCCCTTTCCCTGGCTATAAGAACAAGCCGTCTTAGAAGCAAGAACAGAGAGAAATTACAGCACCCACAGGACTGTCAGGCTCATTCAAGATCTCTGTCGGAAGTGACAGAGCCAACAAGACCGAAGCTGAAGGAGGGAGATGATCTGATAGAAGAGAAGAACTGTGCCGAGACTATGAGACTGAGGTACAGCAAATGCCAGCCTTCCCGTCCCACAGAGGCAGAATCCAAGGTTCATGCGGCTGAGAGGTGGAGGGCTGCTGGCCAGGGAGAGTGAGGGTGTGGACCAATGATTGCCTCCTTGTAGTTCACTGATCCTGACTTGTCCTCACCTGCTAACTTCCCTGATAAGCCTCCTTAATTGTGAGTCCCGTCTCTGAGTTCTATGTGCCCACTGGGAAAGATGCTCAAACTCAGTAGGAAAGTAGATTGTCATGGGAGAAACTGTTGGTTTCACAGATGAAGGCTGGAGAGTAGAGGTATGCTTGTCCTCTGCCTAGTGGCAATACATTTTCGGGTGGCAAAGAGTTGGGGTCTCCTCATTGTATCCAGAGCAAACTAGGTATGGCTCCTCGCCATTTTTGCAGGTACTCACCTGAGATGTTCTTGTGGGATGTCACATATGGGTAACTTGGCAGCAGCCAGGTGACTGAGTTCTAAGCTTTCCAGCTTGTCGATTAAAGGTTTCCATGTTTGATGTCAAATAAACAACTTCAGTGTTTTTTCTCTTAGAGGCAATGTTTCTTTCTTTCTTTTTTTCTCTTTCTTTCCTTCTTTCTGCCAATTCATTATATGCATCCCTTACACATTCTTTGCTTCTATATGAAACAGCAAATTCTATTGAACTTCTCTTAGTTTTCCAATGATGAGCTATTTCCTCTGGAGAACTAACCATCCATATGATTTCTATTCCCACGTTTCAATATTGGTCCTGATTGAATTTGTTTTGTTGATGAAACTTCCATTTCAGAGGGGAATCCTAGCCATAAAACTGTCATTACCCTACTTTCTCCTTCTTGTTATAACCAAAAAAAAGGAGTATCATCCAAATTGCATCTGACTTTTTTCAATATAGAATTACAACTCCACATTTCATTTTGCCCTGGTTACTTTTATGGCATGTGTTCTTTGTATTTCTTGGAATAATTCCTATCTTAACTTACTAAAACCTGTTCTGCCAAATGTTCCCCCCTCCAGACTCCTCACCCCAAGCCTATGATTACTTGGCAGGTTGTACACTTCTGTTTGTATGGAGGCCAGTATGAGGTTTTCCCCCGTCCATTGGGTACTCAATGCAGTTGTAAAACTGGACTTACATTTACCTAGAAGGGAGTAAAACTGCCTCCACGGTTTTACCGAAGCTGTATACCTTTAAGTAAGTAGTCCACCTCTTCTTTTTCTTAAGAGACCGCGCAGCCCAGGGCTCCTAGATGACAGATCTGCATTTTTCACATTGCAGTCCAGGGTTTCACACTGATCAGCTACTTTTCTTGTCCTTTATCTCATTTTCCCTTCAGTGTGTGAATTCTTTATACATATAATTAAAAAAAAAATCTCTACACCTAACAACTCTGAGATTCAATCATTTCTTCATTCATTTATTTAACAAAATTTCCAGGACAATTATTATGACTGTGCAAAGTACATGCTACATACTTTGGTGGGATTCTAAAATCAACTTAGACAAAAATCTTGCCTTCTGAGAGTTTAGGAGGGAACATAAAATGTTTACGTAAATAACAATAAAATCCTACTGAGAGTCCTATGACGTGTAATCCAGGGCCCACAGGTAGAGAGAGCCTACTGTCATTGAGTCAGCTGTTTTGGAGAGGGTGTTATGTGAGTTGAGCTTTAAAAGGCTGTGCAGACAGATGAGAATGGCATTCATTCTACACAATGCTGTCCTTCAGTGTGCTTGTGAAATTTGATTTCTCTTCTATATACAAAATGCTTCATATGTTGAGAAAACTAAAGGCAGCTTTTCCATGTGACTCTACTCTCCCTTGCGTTGTATAACTTGTAAAAATCAGTATCTCTCTCTTTCGATAAAAACAAATCTTGGATCAGAAGAACCATTTTTCTTACCAGCTGGCTTTCTCTGCCTCCTCTCTTAGGGCAGTTTTCTAGGACCCACCTCTCATTCCTGCAGTCCCCAAATGGGTAGGTCCCCTCACTTAGAGGTCATTTACTCGTTCACTCATTAAACATTTGCTGAGAGCCTACAATGCTTGGGGATACAGCAAGACCCAGAAAACTGATTTCTTGTCCTCAAATGTTATCCAACTAGTAGATCTGGGCATAAGACCTATCCATTGTTACTCCAAGCTATCATGTTTTCTCCTCCTACAAAAGTGGTATGATTCCCCCTTATGATCATCCATCTCCAGCAGCGACAGCATGAGAGCCACAAGTGAAAACCACATAGTTAAAGGCTCTTGTGGCAAACAGATCTCAGCAAGGCAGTCCCAGACAAACAAGGAGAACATCAGGGGAGCTGTTAAGACTCCACTAGCCATTAGGCGTGTGATTTATCTGGCAGACAGGAACCAAAACCACAGTTAGGGACGAAGAGAGGGTTGTGTCGGGGCTAAAGACCAGAGCCATGGATTTTTAAAGGGGGAAAGGTCATGGGGAATGTTAACTCTGAAAATACAAAGGACAGCTCAAACGCTCTATGCATTCACATGGGTGACTGGGAAGAGGAGCCGGGAGAAAACTCAGGATGGGAGCGGGGGAAAAAGACAGGCTGCTAATCATGCACTGGACCCAGTGAACAAGAGTGCGATCGATGACAAAAATGGTGAAGTCTGGTGACAGGAGTAAAGTGTTAAAGAAGAAAGAGATATTATTATTATATCGTGCTATATTCTAGGCTGCTGAAAATGGATGTCTTTTAAGTATCTCGAGGAGTAAAGAGACTTAAAGACATAGCTTCCCTGGAAGAAGATTCAATTCTAGAGACAAACATCTGAATCTGAGGAAGAAGGAAAGTTGAAAGGACAGGGAGCTACAAGGAGACTTCCCTACATCTGTCGTTATCTACCAGCATTAACGAGGGAAAGAAGAGCGGGCAATGTCCAGATGCTGCAAGAGGGAAAGGTGCTGGCGTTCCAGGCACAGGGACCGCCTGGACGGACAGCCATTATCTAGAATGGAGAGTGAGAACCATGCACGGATCATTGGATCAGCTTCCTTTCAGTCTGAGGGTTCCTCCAGCACCGTCTCCAGTTTGGGGGAAGAGGACATAGACAGGAAAGGAAATGCCCCACCATCAGTCCCTGCTGGCCACATTGTACTCGCCGGCTCCAACAACTCTATAGGCCAAACACAATCATCGCAGGCATCTGTCATTGATCTCTATGCAATATTCTGGCCTCTGGACACACCTGTTGCACCAGTCATGCAGCAGGTGACACTTGGCCTTGACCGTTTCACCCTTCTGACTCTAAGATAATTTGACCTTTTCTCTTTTTCTTTTAAATGGCAAGGAAAACATTTTTTTTTAGCATTTGTTTCAACATCTCACAATGAGATACTGTTTCTATTATCTTCTGGTGGTGACCTCCAAATGACATTATTTTCAGTTTCCCTCGTTATTCCTCTATTTTAGTTTAGTTCCACTGTCCTCGATTCTCTTGTCTAATGTGTTTTCCTGATATCAAAACTGGCCTTAATAAAATTCTGAAGTGCTTTGGTTTTTCATATCTTCTGTGCAGGATGGGCTCAAGCAGGTTAATGTTCAAAATACATAGGTACAGTACATTAGATATGCACAATTCAATTATGTAACAGCATCGGTCATAGTGACAGCTGCTTCACAGAAAACTTAGTGATATATTTTATTTGTAAATGTTGGCATAGAGGATGTTGTCTGATTTCATTAACTAAATCAAACACTGCCATCAAGTTGACTCTAACTCACAGTGACCTTACAGGACAGGGTAGAACTGACCCCGTGGGTTTGTGAGACTGTCATCCTTCGTGGGAGTAAAAAGCCTCATCTTTCTTTCTCAGAGTGCACTGGTAGTTTCGAACTGCTGGCTAGTGCATAATAACCACTACAGCATCTGTGCTTCTCCTGTTAAGTCGTTCAGTTTAAATTCTACAAACTTACCAATGTACGAAAATAACAGTGTTGAAACAAGCCACAATTACACTTCTTGAAACTCTCTCTCTTTTTCTTGCAACATACTGAAAAACAACAAGAACAATGCTTATTTGCTTGCGGGTAGGAATCCTGGAGTACACCATGATCTGGGCACTGTAAAAGGCAGTGCTTGCTGTAAATCCAGTAGGAAAGATTGCAAAATTGAGTGGGAAGCATATCTTCATAAATCATACTCTGTGGAAGATTATACTTGTATATTTCTCAGTACAGTCTTGTCAAGTACTTTTAAAAAACGTCCACGCATTTGCATACACTCACACTAAAAATGTTTTATGCTTTATAGGCATGTACATATTACTTAGTATGTACATACAAACACAAGCATAATATGAGAGAAAATACTATTCCCAATAGAAATTACAACTTACTATAAATGAAAATATCAATGCTAGGGCAATATGGAATAAGGTAATAGCATGATCAGAATCAACTACAGTAAATAGAAAGATATCCTAAAATCCTTTGGGTTTTGTATTTTGGAGAACCTACTAAATATACTGGGGGGGAAAAAATCAATGACTCTGAAAGCCAGAATGAAGTAAAAATATTAAATAAGCAAGAGAAAAATCACTGACCCCAAAGTATCATTATGAAACAATGGCTTAAGGGAGAGTGTATCCCGGACCGAAGTTGGACCAGGATAATGACAACTGCCAAAGAGAGAGCTAACCTTCAGAGAGTCTGAGAAAGAGAATGTGTATGACTCTGGTAAAGGTGTGCAAAAGGAGAGTATTCAAAGCTGCCATCAGAGCTCCTGGGACATGAGTCTGGGCAAGGCTGCTGCTTATAAAGAAATAAAGACAGCAGAGATGACTTCTTCAGATTCCCTAAGAAGAGTCATGAAGGTAAACAGGTGTAGGCATACCACAGGTAACTGCAGATAGAGGATGGCAGAGAGTGAGAGATTAGAAACATGGATGAGACTTGAGAGACACTGGTTGGGAGCTGTCAAGAGGAGAGTAAACATCTTGAAGATGCTATGCTCATGTGCACACTATCTGAAATAGCAATGCCAACCCTACTGATGCATACATTCAACACAGCGAAATACCTGATCTCATTTTCGTCTTCACTGTTTTGTATGTTTTCAACTGTCCTTGTAAGGTTTGGTTGTTTCTTCTGGGAAAACAACAAGGATGTGTGTTACACAAATAATAATACTTAAGAGGTACATAGTGTCTACTTTTACCTTTTTATATTCATAATTCCGTTAATTTTTTAGCACATAGCATATAAATTATTTTTTCAATAAAAAATGCACCATATCACTGACTCAAAGGTTTTAGGATGTCGGAGGTGGAAGGGTAATAAAGAAACTGCCAGATTTGAGTAGTAATCAAATTCAAGAGGCATTTCAGAAAGCTGAGTCACGATAAATTTTTTTTGACAAGCAATAGAAAATGACAAAAGATTGAAAACCCAAAATAAGAGATAATACAATGGCATTTCTATTTGACTTTTTTTCTAAGCACATGGCATGCCTTTCAGCGAATTTTCTTCCTTTTTCTATTTAGTTCAAGCTAATAAAACCAGTGCCCAATTCTTAAGTGGGCATTCTCAGCTAGAGAGGTTGGTTCCAAAGCAGGGGAGAAAAATCAATCTGGGATTTAAATTTTGATGATGCTAAAAATTAAGGTAGAATTCATGGTTTCTCGGTAGAATCCTTTCTCAGATACGGATGCTTTGTTCATTTTGTCAATCATGTATGTACATATTATTTTAACAAATACGATATGCAAAGATCAGAAAGTGTTCTGATCCGAGGGTGGGGTGGGGGGGGGCAGGGAGCGAAGTGCAGCAGCACCTACCTTCCAATAGAAGGCTCCAAAAGCAAATCCGATTACAAGAGAGAAGAACGCTGGCAGTGCCATGGCTGCCCATTGTAGGTTGGAGTCTCCAAGGGACTCGTCGGCCTTCCCTGTAATTTGGGAGAACACAGTGGTGAATACGGCAGATCCACAAGAGAAGTTTTCCTCTCATGCTGTGGTTGCTTCCAAGTGTTTCCGTATTCTTGATCTATCTCCATTGAAAGCATTTGAAAAGTTGATTTTCTGCTGAGTAGTGTTTTGGAAAACATTGCATTAGGGAAAGCAAAGCAAGTCTTTATAGTCTCCAAAAGATAAATATTGTTAAAAGAAAGCGCACAGCCAGGAGGAGATTAGACTTGGCTAAACACTGACACCTAAGAAACCGGCACTTGGGATGTATTCCTAGGGCAGGCGTGGGAATAGGAGTGATTGATTCTATCAAGCAAATCCATCTCTCCTAGCTTTATCTTCTAAGATCCTTTCATTTTCTCACTCTTGAGATTTTATCCAAAACTTCTAAAGAAGACACTGCCACCTGCATCAAGGTCTGTATGGCACTAAACCATGTTATCCTCCCGTAAATATTGTTCTGTGTCTCCTGTGCTGTCATAGTTCTAGGTACCCCGTGTCGCTGCATTCACATCTTCAGCACCCAGTCGTTGGATGCCAAGTCATGTTAGGCTCTGTTGAAAAGCTCGTGACTCTAACATTTGCAAATGGTTAAAAGGACCAAAGAGTATCTCTCCACAGTTTTTATTCAGATAGAAGATGTATGAGGTTGGCTTGGAACAATTTCCTCGATCTTGCCTTACTCATACTAAGCAAGCAGAATGACTTGAAGAATTGAATCAAGGTTATTTCCCAGAAGGGTCTCTGCTCTCAACAGGAGATTTAGCTTTTTAAAGATTCCTGTCTCTTTAGCGGGAATAACCTAGTTATTTGCTACATCGACAGAGTGTTAGAGAGCAAGACTTAATTCCTGAGTTTTCTTTCAAAGGTGTATTTTAGAATTATAGGCTTTCAATAATTATATGATCCAAATGTAAAGTAATTCAAGGGAAAGTTATTGCCTTAGTCTAGTTTTGTAAGGTAAATTACAGATTATGTATGTATGTTTATACACGCATATATGTTTTATATATGTGCACATACACAAACATATATATGTATATGCATGTGTGCATCTAGACAACATAAATAAAAGCATTATTTATGAATCAATGTTTCTGAAAAATAAACTCAGTTTTCACTTGAACGGCAACAGATTTTACATATTGTAGTGAGAACAGAAATCGCCTGTTCTCGCATCATTTGTGAACTATGAGTAGAAAACCTCCTACTTCTAAGCCATTCAAAGAATTTCTGTGACAGTTTAGAGACTCGAATAAAAGGAGGTTTGTGTGTATATTCACATGTCTGTGGGTGGGGGCTGTGAGGATGGGGGATCTCGTATACGGTGTGTGAATTAGACAGGGAAGGAGGTCTATGTCCAAGGGAGACTACTCATAGCAACTGCTGTCCTCCTTAAGACAAACCTTTCTTCTACCTCACCCCTTATTCCAAACCCCTCGGAGCTAAGTTCCAGGCAGCACAAGTTGGACCTCAACATAAATTTCCTCACCAAAACAAAACTCTGCTTGCTATAATAGCTAGTTCAAGGGTTATATAAGATGATATGATCTATCTTGGGATCTAAACAATTTATAGAAGTGTTTTATACAAGAAAAGGCTTTCATTATTACAAGCAATTCCTACCACTTTAGGAATTTTAATATGACAATCTTTGAATAAAATAATTTGAATGTCTGTGTTTATATTTCATCATCATGTTTGTATTCTCCTTGGTGGTAAACATATGATTTCCCACAGTCTACTACAAGTGCTGATGGACAAAGATGATAAACCTAACCAGGTGACCTGTGAGAAGCTGAAGGTATATATACAGAGAGAATAAAGGAACCTCTTGATATTTTCCCCTCAAACCCAATGGGGGCATTCCAGTGAGCTAGGGAGGTTCTTATCTTCCTTCTCCATTTGATCAGTAAGAATGCTCTGGAATCAGGACAGCTAAATAGTCTGTCCTACCTATTTCAGCTGCAGACCAAACTCAAGCCTTGATGTTACCACTCAGGCCAGAGGAAACGCCAAGACCACTGGCAAGAAACAGAAGGAGCTTATGAGAGGGGGGCTCTGGGATTCCCTATCCCCAACGTTCCACAGGGAGAAATGCTTCTCTTACTCAATGTCCCCGCCCCCCAGCAAAGTTATGCAGGAAAAGAGATGGGAGCAAAGGAAAATGCACACTGCTCTCCCCAGAGTCTGTGGCTTTGTGGCCTTTGTTCCACCCCTAGGACTAGGGCGCGATACAAAGTGCTGGAGCACGCAGCAAGGATCTGGGGTTTGGAAGGAGAGAGAGAGAGAGAGAGAGAGAGAGAGAGCTAGAGATTGATTCAAGACTGGAAGGAGAAAGGGCACATAGGTTCTTAGCTTCAACTCTGATCAGAGCAACTGCCGTTGAGTCCATTTTGACTCCCTGTGCCCCCCTGTCTGCCCGCGCGGAGCTGTGCCCCCCTGTCTGTCTGCGCGAAGCTCTGCCCCACTGTCTGTCCGCGCGGAGCTCTGACCCACTGTCTGTCCGCGCGGAGCTCTGCCCCACGGGTGTTGCAGGGCTGCTTTTTCAGTCGACTGCCAGGCCTTGCTTCTGAGGCTCCTTTGGAAGGTCCCAAACCTCCAACCTTTTGTTTACCAGCTGAGTAGTTGCACCGTTTGCACCTTGCCTAGAAAGGCCAACATAGTCTGGCTTCCGTTCTTTCTCTAGTGCAATCGAAGGGTATAAAAAGGAAGCCTGTGATCTTTCCCCTTCCCCCTCCTACCTAGACTGCTACAGTTCCTCTGGGGGGCAGAGAAAAGCAAAACTAACAGACCAGGCTGGTCTACATCTCGCTCCAGAGGCTGCTTTCCAACACTTGCCACTGCAGTTATCCCACGGGGGAGCAATGCATTTTGAACTGTATGTGTCAAGGCCCAGATAAAAGGAATTTGGGGCCAAAGTCCAAGCAAGCAACAAAGCTTTGCTTTTATGCAAAGATTGTTCACAGGGACACGGGGACCTTGAGGTGGGAGGAGGGGAGCTGGAGACTCCTCTAGGGCAGGATTTGCCAAAGACCAAATTCCTGGTTTATTATTATATTCATTGTATCCCATGACTAGTGTATTAATTGTCTCGCATTATTACTAAATCTGTCTGTCCCCAAATCCATAACAAATGCCTTGCTTGGTTTGACTAATACTATCTGACATCTGTGCAAACACGTAAAACAAAACCCACTGCAATCAGGTTCATGCCACCTCGTGGCACGCCTATCTAATAGTGTTTCCAAGACTGGAAATCGCTGCGGGAGCAAACACAAAATGTTGCCTACCATTGGACTTCCCTCCTTTTCATTATCAGTGTGCTTATCGGTACCATGCCTATGAACATAGATTTCTGGGTTTGTAGGAAGCAGGATGCTGTAGTTTTCCCTTGATTCAAATCCAAAACTTACTACAAGGTCACTACAATGACTACTCACAGCCTTGGTGCATGTAATTGTTCTATTAATTTAGTGGGGGCCCTGGTGGTGTAGTGGTTATGCACTGGGCTGTGAGCCACATGGTCTGCTGAAACCACCAGCAGGTCTGTACACAGTCTTAGAAACCCACAGGGGGTCGCTATGAGTCAGCATTGACTCCAGAGCAGTGAGTTTGGGTTTGGGGTTTTACTAAGCATCTGGCACAGCTCCAAGCACGTATACTAACTCTTTAAACTGAACAACGACAAAAAGAAAAGAAAAAGAAAAACATGAAGCAGAAGGTCTTATCATCCTGCACTTCACTGGGGAGTTCAGAGATTAAATAATTTACCCAAGGTCGGGCCGCTAGCTGGGGCAGTCTGCTTCAAGACTGTGTTGCTAGAAATGATGTGTCAGGTAATGGCAAAGAAGGGAGGTAGCAATCATCAACGTTTAAGCGTCTAATAGAGCTTCAAAATACACCACACAACTAATTGAGAGAACTGAAAGGAGAAGCAGACTAACAAAAAATTATATGGAAAGATTTTAAACACTTCCCTCTTACCAACTGAGAAAAAATTAAGTCAGAAGCTTTCGTGATGCAGGAAATCTGAATTCAGGATCAACCATTGCAGCCGAAGCTGAGACTGCCACACCCACTGATGGAGAGCCACACATCAAGTACATCTTAATAAATTTCAAATGACTAAGCTATCACAGGATATGTTCTCTGGTAACAGAAGTCAGAATCACTTAACATAACTTGAAATAGTTAACTCTAAGCCATCTGGAAAAGCCCGACTATTGACACATCACACAAATCACCCAGGAATCAAAAAAGAAATCTGAAGGGAAATTAAAAATGATTTTGAAGTAAAGAAAACGAAAACACAATGTGTGAGATGTACCCAATGCGGCTCTTCCAAAAACCATACCCGACTTTCTGCCATCAAGCGGATTCTGGTCACAGCGATCGTGGCGGGCAGAGCTGTGCCTCCGGCGTTCCCGAGGCTGCAGCCTCCCCCCTCCTTATGGGAGTCGATAGCCAGGTCTAATCACCGAGGGATGACTGATGGTTCTGAAACGCTGACCTTGAGGACCGCAGCCCAACACGGGACTACTACCCCAACGAGACAGTTATTTATGTCTCTCTGTGCCATAATTAGGGTGAATGACCAAAGGATTTAAGATTTTAAGATTTCTATCTTAAGTTAGAACAAGAGAGTGGTGATACCGGGAGGGTGGATGGAGGGTGGGGTGGAAGGGGGCAACCGATTACAAGGATCTACATATAACCTCCTCCCGAGGGACAGACAACAGAAAAGGGGGGTGAAGGGAGACGTCGGACAGTGTAAGATATGACAAAATAATAATAATTTATAAA